TCTAGGTGTTCCTGCAGCTGCCTTACAAGAACCCCGTGGCCTACCGGTTCAACACCAGTGAGCTCCACTCACGCTGGGCACACACAGCCGAGGCCCAGTCTGAGAGGCCTGAGAGGGGGCTGCTGAAGGTACATCTTGAGTTTTTAACTTGGCCAGCACCTGCCCTTCAGCCAGCACCCAGTGAGGAGGTGCTACAGCGCCCCAGCTCTGTCCACCATTCTTCCCCTGGCCCCTGACTTCTCCACCACCCGTGCCTTTGTTTCTCCCACCCCCTCCCAGACTTCAGCCTGTTCACTGTGATCCACCCTAACTCCCACGATCAGGCGACTGGGTATTGGACTTGTTTTCTCTGGGCCTGCCGCTCTGTTCACTTCTCAGGACCCCAGTTGTTCTTAATTGATGCTGGCTGACCTGGCCCCTCCCACCCCCACCACACACTGCCTCCTGACCTTGGCTGTCTCCAGGAGGCACTGCGCTAATCAGGCTGATTATGGCCCAGGTCCAATTGCACTTCCCCTGGCTACAACACACAGTAAATTTCCTCAGCCGCTGGCTCCCTGTGAGTCCTGCCTCTTGTCAGGCAGCCTGCATCAGGAAGTCAGCACTCCCCCTCCCCCACCCCGCCTGCTGTATCATCACCGATGAATCAAGCAAAACACAATTTTCACATCTCCCCAGCTCTAGTAAAATCTCTGGGGTTCTGAACGCCAAGACCCTTACGTCTTCAAGAACTGAATTTTAGAGGATGCTTTAGAAAATTATTTCCCTCATCTCTACATATTCTGAGGGTGAGCTAGTGGCATTAGCCTTAGCTAATCATCAGGGATCGGTCCTTGAACTTCCACCCTCATTTCATACTTGTCCCACCCCCAGGGCCTCTGGGTGACTGAAAGTGACATGACAAGACCCGGAGAAGTGAAAGAGAAAGACCAGGAAGCTGTGTTTATTCCCAAACCCAGGGCCCCCTGGGATGGAGTAAAAGCTCTGCTGACCGTTTCTTCTGTCTGGATCTCTCCCAGACAGACGAAGCTTGGCTGGGGAGGAAACGAGCAGAGAGGAAACCAGAATGCGTGAGTATGGCATGCCCGGCCTGTGCTAGATTCTGTGGCCTGGAACATGGTGCTTTCCGTAGGATTGGAGACAAGCATGCACGAAGCAATTAGAGAACAAGTAAGAATTCAATTATGTTGTGTTGACAGAAGCCAAAAAGGCCAGAGAAGCATGTGATGAATTTGACAGGAAACGATTTAAACAACATTGTGGGAATGGATCCTGATTCAGCCAAATTAAACAACCATTAATAGCATCTTCTACACACAAGGCGCTGCATTGGATGCTGTGGGGAACAGAGGGAACAAAGCCCCAGGTGCCCCCTGTGGGGATGGACATGCAGGGAAGGTTATGAATGTGACATAAAAATATACATAACAGTGTGCAGGAGGGCTCTGGCCTGAATGTTTGTTTCCCCCAAATTTATATACGTTGAAGCCCCTAACTCCCAATGTGATGGCATCTGAACAGGGCCTTTAGGAATTAGATGAGGTCATGAAGGTAGGGCCCTGGTCTAACCGGATTAGTGCCCTTATAAAAAGAGTCACGGAGGGCTTGGCCCTTCCCCCACCCCAGCCGGTGTGTGTGCACAGACCCACACGCACACACAAAAGCAGCCATGTGATCACGCAGTGAGAATGTGGCCATCTGCAAGCCAGGAAGAACGCCTTTACCAGAACACGATCTTGCCGGCACCCTTATCTTGGACTGCCAACCTCCAGAACTGCAAGAAAATTCATGTCTGTTGCTTAAACCATATGATATTTTGTTATGAGCCTGAGATGACTAAGACATAGATGAGAGAGATTAATTGTAAAGGGTTGTATCAGAGAGGGTTTCTTGGAGGAAGTGGAATTATAGTTGCAGGTTGAATCAGGTTCTAGAGAGGAAGGTGTGGGAAGGGCATTTTGGGCTGAAGAAGCAGCTGAAGGAAGTGGGTGGCATTTCAGCAGAACATGCCATAGAGAGATGGAGAGGTGGAGCCACGAGGGAAGGTGGGCCCCAATTCCAGGGACCTTGAAGACCACTCAGGGGAGTTTGGATCTTGCTTTATTAAGAAAGTGGAGGCGTCAGTGTTGTTGAGCAGGTGAACAGCATGACAAGGAAGGATACCGTGGCTGCTGCAGAAAGGGCTGATTGGCAGAAGGGCAGGCCACAGGGAGAGTAGCCATGAGGCAGACAAGGCAATATGCTGGGCCAGAGGTGATGGGCCTACACAGGCACCTGGTGCAGACAGAAGCAGCACTGAAGGGGATCCACGGTACAGGGAACTGTGGGACTGGGGGTGGTGCAGGTGGCCAGAGGTGAGCCTGCAGGGATGGTTCTCAAATTCTTTTTTGCTTTTAAGCCCCCCGTCAGACTCTTCTCTCTGTGCCTGGGTGTATCCATCCACCTTCAACCTTCTTTGTGCATCTCTGTGCATGTGGATTTCCCTGTTTCTGCAGAGTGGCAGGACCTCCCTCTCATCCTGCCCCTAGTCAAGCCCATCACTCTGCAAGGGTTGGAAGAGAGGAAGAAGAGACTTAAAAGAGAAGGGCTGTGGAGAGAGAGAATTGTGAGGGAGAAAGTTGTTAGTATTAATAACTAATGTTTTCTCTCTTTTTAGAACTTTCTATGAGCCAGGCTTTTTTCCCAAGGACTTTCCATGTATCAACCCAGTTAATCCCAACAGCGGTCCCACCGGGAGGGCACATAACTGATGGTCGGGAACAATGACATGACTGGTTCATAATCTCAGCTTTACACCCACTGACGGCATGATCCTGGGCAAGTTACTGGATGTCTCTTTGCCTCAATTCTCTCACCCATGCAGTAAGGATGATGAGAGTTCTCACGCCACAAGGTTGTAAGGAATAAATGAGTGAAAATATACACTTGGAATGGTGCTTGGCACAAGGTCACTCAGTTTTTTACAGCTGAGAGAACGGAGGTCCAGAGAGAAATTACTTTCCCAAGCTCGCCCAGGTACCTGGAGAGATGACCCAGTGTTGGACCTGGGCCAGCTATGCATTTAGCTACTCTAGCGTGTCTGTCCATGGAGCAGATGTGAGGAGAGAGAGAGCAGGACGGGGCTGAGGTGGGTAATATGGTTTCAGACTGGATGTGGGGTCTGTAGACCTTTTAAATGCCCCCTCCCATGGCCTCTGATATCTGGGCCTGTGGAAGGTGGGAGGCAGTTCTGAGAGTCAAAACGCCTAGGTTCAGTGCATGCTGCAGACTAAATGTGTTTCCCCCACCAAAATCATATGCTGAAACCTAATGCCCCATGTGATGGTGTTTAGGAGGAGGGGCCTCCGGGGAGGAGATTAGGTCATGAGGGCAGAGCCCCCCCACCCATGGGATTACTGCCCTTATAAAAGGCCGAAGAGAGTTCCCTTGCCCTTTTCACCATGTGAGAACACTGAACAAAGACAGGTGTCTGTGGACCAGGAAGCAGGTGCTCACCAGACACCAAATCTGTCCATACTGTGATCTGAAACGTCTCAGCTTCCAGAACTGTGAGAAATCATTGTCTGTTTTGTGTAAGCCACAAGTATATGGTGTTCTGAAACAGGAGACTGAACGGACTAAGCCCAGTTTTAGGTATGGGAATGAACCAAGTGAAGCCTAAAGCTCTCTAACCGAGCAGGCCAGGACAGAATGGCAGGGAGCTGCTGAACGGTACCTGCAGATGCTCTAAGTGTCCATGTGGGGGCAGCAGAGCCCATGCTCTTTCTTAGGTTAAGGTTTAAGTGGGGAGGCCTGTGGAAGAGACCTTCCACAACAAAATGAATCCTGAGCTGCACGGCAGAAAGAATAATAAGGCGTTCTAAAAATGGTAAAAACTTCAGTGATGGGGGCGACTTTAAAAACAACTTAGTCCTTGTTCAGCAGAAGGCAAGACTGAATTCAAATGGTCAAATACGATTTTCCCAAATTTAACCAAGGGAGTTCATGAGAAAGCTGAAAATGGAACCCAAAACTCCATCTCTTCAGACCTATGTATGGAAAGGGCCTGTTTCCAAACGAAGAACTTGGTTCTCTCTCAGCAGGAAGTGAGTCCCTCTGTCATGTGAGCGAGTGAATGTGTGTGGGGTCCCCGTGGCATCCTGAGTGGCCAGCAAGTGGTGCCAAGGAAGGTCAGGAGATGACATGCTACCTGACTGCAGATTTCCTTTTTGTCATCTTGAAGCCCGACTCCTCATACCCTACACCCTAGAGGAGAGAAAGGGAGGAGGAGAGAGCATGGCAGGTAAGAAACAGGAGTTTGTACAGGGCATTGACTGGAGAATGGCATGGGAACCATAAAAAATTTGATTAAAATTGATTGTGTTGTTATTTATTTTATACGATTATATTAACAAAAGAAACAATCTGTAGATTAAAAGAAATTTTAAAATACTCATAATATTATATACTCAAAGAAAATGCTATATATTTTTAAAACATATGTTTTTTATGAGGAGGCAATGCAATAAATCTTAAACATCATTTTTGTGTAACAGCAAGTGCAATCCAGTGCTTGATGCATCACCATTGTAAACCAGTGGATGGGAATGCTGTCCTTGGTGCTGAAGCTTGGCATGGCGCAGGAAGAACCTCCCCAGAATGAGCTGAAGGGACTTTCCTGAGGTCCTGACAAGCCCATTGGAGCTCACACGGTGTTTCTACTTTTTAAAATATTTCATTGTTTTTCTATTACAGTTGTCCCAATTTTTCTTCCCTTCCTCTCCACTGCCCTGCCTACCTCCCCACTCCCACAGTGAATCCCCACCCTGTTGTTCACATCCATGGGTCATTCATGCATGTTCCTAAACTAGTCACTTACCCTTCTTTCACCCTTATTCACCCTCACCCTCTGGTCACTGTCAGTCTGTTCCTTGTTTCCATGCCTGTGGTTCTATTTTGCTTATTTGTTTGTTTGCTCATTAGTTTCCTTTTATAGGTGAGATCATATGGTATTTGTCTTTTGTCACCTGGCTTATTTCACTTAGCATAATATTCTCCAGCTCCATCCATGCTGTCAAAAAGGTAGGAGTTCCTTCTTTCAGTCTCAGAACTGTGGTCTCTCTCCTCTTCCTCTTTGTTTCTTATTATGTTTCTGTAGAATGCTCTCAATGCGGAAAAATTCCATCAAAATTAGCTGAACTGAGGTCTCCTCCCTTCCAGCCCCACAGCTCCATGTGAAATTGCCTGTGCCTCAAAGTGATGTTATCTTCACCTGAGGCCTCTGAATTTTTATCTGGAAAGAGAGTTAGAACCAGTTGAGGGCTGGGCCCATGAGAAACCTGGAATTTGGAAGCATAAGAGTCTTGGAACAGAGGAAGCACTCAGTTTAGAAGTTATTCTATTATCCAGAATCTAGTACAAACAACTGTATCCCTCCACTCTACCCAACCCCCAAATTAGGCAGGTTTAAAGGTGTCCTGGCTAAGAGTTCATTTCAGCAACAAGGTTGTCTTTGGGGAAGGGAACTAGTGCCTGAAGCCAAACACACTTCTTTTGAGGCATGAACACTTTGAGGGTATTTCTTTTGCCCTCAAATACCCATCCAGTTAAAATAAAAGTGGCAATTAAGGAGTTGTCACCCCTTACCCAAGTGACCTATCTTGGCCTCAATCATAGTGAGACAACCTGATCTTATGTACCCATTAAGTGATGGAATACCATTATCTATGATGTATGCTTAGCAAAAATGGTTAAGCTGATTGTAATCAAGCTTGTAGAACTCATTGCCAGTTTATAGGAAATACAGAAGATTGAGGGACAAGTTAAATGATACCATAAGGAAATAATTAGACAAATTCAGAAATGGGACATTCTTTAAGACAACCGTATTAGACTCTTACAAAAACTAATACAGGTGTGGGAAAAAGTAGGTTTATGGTTGTGAACACATAAAACAGAGTTCATTCTTAAATTATTATTTATTAATTATTGTATTATTTTTCATATGAACAACTATAAACTTACTTTTGCCCCTTGTATATTAAAAAAAAGGTAGAAGCCAGTCATAGGTTAAAAGACCAAAGAGACACAACAGAAGTCAGTGAGTGAAACTCGTAGTATTCACATTTGAAAAAACTGGTAATAGAGATGTTCCTGGGTTAATTAAAAAAAATGGATATTGGATGATATTCTAGAATTATTATCAAGTTATTGGGTGTGATGATGTCATTCTGAGGTGTATACTAATGTGTATGGCTATCAAGTGTCATACTGTTTACAACTGACTTCCAAATGGTTCAGCAAAAATTCATATATAAGTTAAACATGTTAAACGTTGTTGACCTAGATGAGGTGTATGGGTATTTACTGCACTACTATTTTGACTTTCAGGTGTGTTTGAAAATTAAAATAACTAAATGAGTTGGCCATCAAGGACATACTTAAAGTGCAGATGGAAACCTCTGAGCCTGAAGCCTCAGGGTTTAAGAAAGGTAGACCTTGCTGCTTAGCTCTCCTCCCCCACCCACTGCCATCCCGAGTTATACCCATTTCCCAGCAGCATAGGCCTGGGTGATCACCTGGACTAGCAAATTATAAACATGGCTGCTTTCCTGAAGATCCCACCATGGTAGGAAGGCAGATGGGGTCTCAGAGCAGAGGGAGGTGAGCATTTCATGCAGACCCGTCTTACCTTTGTGTTAGAGTCTATGTGGTCCAAGGTGGGCTGGAAGTTACTATAAATGGAGTCCATGTCAATAGACTTCTCTTGGTCTAGACAGGGAGAAAGCCCCATGGGAGAAGAAGGTTAGGAAGACAAGCTCTCATCAGTCCCTCTAATGCCACCCACTGCTGGGTGAGGGGTGTATGTCCACTTCTCAAGATTCTGAAAACTTTTGCAAACAAGAGAGGCTACTTAAATTACTTGACCTCAGCAATGGTTTGATTGATTCTCAAAAGATGTAAAAAAAAATCACATTTAAAAATTCAACAAAGAAAAACCATAAGTGCTTTACCAGCACCTTCAGCTTCATGAAGTACATTATGATTTGTCTTGGCTTGGGTGGCACGTGGCAGCTTTGGGATACTGGCTGACCCGTTTTGTGAGCGTGTGGGTTTTCTTTCATGTGGGTTTTCTACAATGTTTTTAAATAAAGTTTTACTATTTTCCCCTGAAAAGTCTTAAACATCCTTTGTTAGATAATATTTCTAGGTGCTGTATAAAGAGTGTTTTTTATATTACTATACATTATCTGTTTGTCACTGATTCATAGAAATGCAATTCATCTTATAAAATTGATCTTATATCTGGCAACATTGCTAAATCTATCAATTTTAGTGATTTAACATTCATTTGGGTTTCATGTAAGACAACCACATGAGCAAATGACAGATATATGTTTTTCTTTCCAATATTTAAACACTGCATTTTTTTATTGTACTGATTAGGACACCCAGAGCAATAATTTATAGAGTTGGTGATAACCTGTGACTTGCTCCTTGTTCAATACAGGGGTTGACAAATACCCCCTTGAGCCAAATCCAGCCTGCCACTTGTTTTTATATGTCCCACAAGTGAAGAATTTTTGAAAATTTTTAAGTGGTGGTACACAACCACACTCATCCGTGCATGTATATGTTGTCTGTGTCTGTTTTCATGCTACCTCGGCAGAGATGAGTAGCTGTGACAGAGATCACAAACCCATGGCCCAAAAATATATCCTTTATAGAAAAAGTTTGCCAGTCTCTGGTTGAGTGACTTTTGATGTTTTATCACTGAGAATGATTTTTGTGTGTTGGTGTGAGCAGGAAATGGAGATTTCCTTTACCAGGAAATGGAGATTCTACGCCTATTTGGATGAGTTTTTATGATGGGCAGATAAGGACATTTATTAAATGCTTTATTTTGCATCTACTGCAGTGATCATATTGTTTTCTTATGCTGGTGATGTGGTGAATTCATAAATAGCTATTCTAATCTTGAACATTTGGTGTTTTTTTTATACCTGCTAGATTTGGTGTGCTAATTTTTTGTTTAGTGTCTTTATATCTATGTGCACAAGTAAGTTTGGTCTTTAAATCTATTTTCTTGTACTTCCTTTGCCTGGTTTTGCTATAAAACTTTATGGTAGGCTCATAATGTGAATGGAGAGAATTGTCTCTTTGTCCAGTATCGGAGTTTGTATCAGATTATCAGCCTCTGCTCTGTCAGTGTTTGGTACAATTCACTTGTAAAGTCATCTGAGCCTGATTAATTAAAAAAAAAAAAAAAGCAGTTTTAAGACCACTCTAAATTTTGCCTAAAGTTTATGGCTTTGCTGGTTGGAAGATGTTTATAATAGTCTTTTATTAGCTTTGAAATTGCTACTGCGCTATCTCCTTACTGATTCCTGATGCTGTTTGTATCTTCACCCTTTTCTCTTCATTAGTCATAGGCGTCTGCGAAATCAGTGAATTTTATTACTTTTCAAATAATCATCTTTTGATTTGTTGAGTCCTTTTATTACATTTCTACTTTCTAGTTTGTTGATTTCTGCTCTGTATTTTTACATCTGCATTCTTTGAAGTCATCTTGTTGTTGCTTCTTCCTAACTTCCTACATTGAAAAGTTGGCTCAGTGGTTTCCAGTCTTTCTTTCCCTCCACACTACAAGTGCTTTTAAGGCATAGGCTTACTTCTGAGTCCAGATGCAGCTGCATCCCGCACATTTTGAAACCAAGTATTTTCATTATAATTCAGATCCAAGTACTTTCTAACTTCCATTATGATTTCTTATTTGGTTCATGTGCTATTTTAGAAACTTTAAAATTTTTTTCCAAGATATAGGATTTTTGTTTTTGTTTTCCAGAAATATTCTTGTTATTGATTTCTAACTTGCATTGTGGTCAGATGATATAGTTTGATTTAAATAATTTTTTTAATATTTATTGAGACTTTTTCCTGACTTTGTGTGCGGAGGTTCTTACAAGTTTTCTATATACTCTTACAATGAATGTATACTCTCCAGTTGTGAAATGCAGTCTATCTATGACAATTATGTTAAGGTTGTTACTCATTTCATATGGAAGTTCCATATCCTTGATGATTTTTTCTGCCTACTTGATCAACCAATTACTAAGAGATTTTTTAAAAAAATCTCTCACCATGTTGGTAGATTCATCAATTTTTACTTATAGCTTTGTCAATTTTTGCTTTTTTTAAGCTGTATTAATAGGACTCACAGGTTAGACTTGTTATATCTTCTTAACAAAGTAAACCATTTTCCCAGCAGATATTGATAATTTCTTATAATTCTTTTTGTCTTAGAGTTTATTTGTCCACAGTGAATACAGCTACATATAGAACAACAGCTATTTCGGTATTTCTCTGTTTTCCATACTTTTGTTTCACCCTTTCTCCATGCTTCTATTTTACATGTGCCTTTCATACACAGTGAATAGATTTTTAAAGTCTACTCTTTTAATTGGAGTGTTAACTGATGTATATTTATTATAGTTATTTACATAGTTATTAGATTATTTTCTCTCTCATTTTGTGCTATTTGTCATGCTCTTTCCTTTTTCTGTTTCCCTTTTCCTGCTTTTTTTTGTGGATAGACTAAAACATTTTCCTCATTCCATTTTTTTCCTTCTTAGAATTTAAAGACTCAATTTCTACACATTTGACATGTACATTTGACCTAACAAAATCTATAGGTAATCACTTTACTGAGCTATAACCCACCTGTTAATGAGCTTACCCACTCCTAGCTGCTTATCTGTTTCCACAGAGGCACAGTTTTGTGGTCTGGAGAAACCTACAACCTTCCAATAACCTGTGACACCTCTTCATGGTCTAAGTATGCTGGTGCCCCATCCAGGGTCTTGCAGGAGCCAGTGGTGGAAATAGGGCTGCAGATGTGGAACCCAACATTTTGGAAAAGAAAATGCTTTTCCTCTTTGCTCCCTCAGCACCTCCTACATGCCTCAGATGTAAGTCTCCACAATGGGATATTTTCAGTCCACTGAGAGTTTCTAATACCTTCACAGGTGTCAAAGCCAATGTTTTGGAAGGTCCCATGGACTGGTTCACCATCTTCCCCGTGCCACTTGTACAACTGAGTCACTTTGGATTTCTGCCTGTTAATAGAAACATGGGAGAGATCTCATTTTGAGCAGAGAATGGGAACAAAAATCTGGGGACTGGCTCTGTCCACCCCAAGGATAACATAATTAAAAACAGAGGGATCAGGAATGGAGGAGGAGTTAGGGGCAAATGGAAGAGGTTGTGGCAGTGGCTCACCTTTCCACCTCTCTCCTGGAGCGGAACATGAACACCAGGATGATGACAAGGACAATCAGTATCACTGCACCTGCTGCCCCCAGGAGCCCGTACACCAGGCTCTTCTTGGTGCTAAACTCGCAGGTTTCCCCCCTGTACCAGTCAGTGTCTGTGGTCAGGCAGCTGAGATGAAGAGAAGGAGCAGTTGAGGAGAGGGAGCCATTCAGAGTCAGGGCCAGCCAATGCCCACAGTCCCCCAGCCTCAAAACCAGCCCTGCCCCATGAATGGATAATGAGGAAAAGGTGAAGAGATTGCTGGGATGCACAGCAAGGGGCCCTGAGGGGATGAACAGAAACAAAGTCCAGCTTCCATGGGTGGGCCTTAAATAGGCACAATGCCCAGCTCTAGGCCTATAGGTTCTGCAACCCAGACCTAAAACAGCTGGTCCAACTCAGATTTCCCTGGGCTTTACCCAGCAACTTGAGAACCCAGAAAAGACCATTTCACCCACACAGTAACCATCTTAGTTTTCAACCTCTCTCTCTATGAGGAAGAACAATCCCCCATGCCTGGTCCAGAACAACTCCTCCTCCCTAAAGATGCCCTTTCTAAACCCCGTTTTTTTCCTCCCCAGGACAGCTTTGCTCTCCTACTCCCTTGGCCTTTACAGGCTTTCCACCCTCAGCAGGGGATGTTAATCTCTCCCTGGAAACAAGTCCCTGTCCTCCCCACCTGACTACGGACTTCCCGAGGCTGAGGCCTTCCCTCTGCTTCCTCAGAGCTTGAAAGTCTCCTCTGCCTCGCTGGACACAAAGCACAGGGAAAGGAGGGCAGCTACTGAACCATTCTTAGTTTATTCTGGACCTGGCTTTGGGGCTCTGGCCATGTGTGTCCTTTGTGGCTGGCTGCATTCAGGAAAGTCCAGAACTCGCTCCACAACCTTGGAGTCTTGAGGAGTGGGGTGCCCAAGGGGTGCAGAGATGAGGGAAGCCAGCCTTGGGTGGGGTGGTGAGACACTCACTAGCAACGTGGGCCGCTGCGCTCCAGCATGCACTTCCCAAAGTTGCAGTTCATGGAGCCATTGAAGCCAGGTTCACAGCGGCTAATGCACATTGGTGTCTGGTCCTTGTACACCAACTTGAAGTGCCCAGGAAAGTCTTTCCCAGTTTTCATCTGGCATTCCTCTGAGGGGGCATGGAGGCACATGATCAAAAGGCTGGGAGCTCTCCCTGCTTCCCCTGCCCTCCCTGAAGCCCCTGAGTCACCAACCTTCAGGGCTGTATCGGGCAATTGAAATGTTTTGCACCACGGTGGAGTTCTCTTTGAAGCACAGTATGCCTGTGAAGGAGATACAAAGCCCCTGATGAGCTTGTTTAGCAGGAGACTCAGGTGTGTCTATGGGGGAAGGGCATGGGGGTAAAAATCAGTCCCTGCCAAGAGGAAACGCCAATCCAGTCTCGTTTCCAGCTTTTCAGAGCCATGATCCCCCCAAGTGTCTTCCTTCTCCCACACCCTCCTTGGCCAAGACCCCCACACTGCTCATTGCACTGAGAAGCATCTATGTTGGGCAATAAGTCAGGCTCATCCTCATTTTTGTGCAGATTTGGGATTTAGCACATCTGCCTCTGCATCCTCCTTTCAGAGCCTCTCTTGGCATCTGCCAGTCAGAGTGATAAGGGTTGGGACTGATTTCTGGTCTCTTAGTGTTCTCCCACTCCCCCCATCTGCCTCTGCCCTCCCCCACCCCAGGCATAAGAAGATCAAAGATTCTTTGAAAGCCTCCTCATGCTCCTCCCCAGAAGCCTAGGAATTTACTTGTGCAGTTATCATCCTTCATGACTTGATCGTTGGTTATATTGTTAATTTTTTGCTCTATCTTCTTGGTGGCACTCTTTAAAACTTCCTCATATTCTGGGGTGAAATTGGCCTTCAGGAGGACATCATGCTTCACCACCACACTGCCACGACTGAGCAGAGAGAGAAAGATGTCCTTGGTCATCCTCCTGAGTGCTAATGGGCACTCATCTCCCCAACCCTTTCCCCAGGCAGGCTTTGCCTTCTTGGCCCACGTGGAAAGGCAGAGCTGGGAGAGGACTGTTGAAAATGAAGACCCAGTGTCTGTTGGGTGGAGGCTCTATTCCAGGCACTGCACTTGCACGTCACTGTAGGACCCATATGGCTTGGGAGATTCAGGGGAGGCTTGGGAATGAAGATGGACAGAGGAATGGCACCATGGAAGTGGTCCACCTTATGGTGCTACTATATTTACTGAAGCAGGAGACTGGGCAGCTGCTGGCAAGGTATCCATAAGGGGCCATTGACCATGGGGGAGGAGGGTGTACCAGGGATTCCTACGGGATTCATGAATTTCTAAGTGGTAGTCTGGTTGTGGGAGGTCTGTGAGCCTCTTAAGACTGTATGCAAAAATTTCAAGGTACATATGTCCATTTTTTTTACTCCCACAAATATTTGTTAATTTTAAAAGGAGTCCCTGATACCTAACAGGTTAAAATTCTTGTCAAAAGTTTCTCCCTACTCCCTGGCTCAAGAGTTAGGAGAAGCCAGAGCCTCAGACATGCTCACAGCTTCCCTTTGCTTCCTTTCCTTTCCCCTAGCCCCCAATGCCCCACCCCCTGGTCAAGAATCATTTCCTTGCAGTGTGCTTTCTCACAGACCTCAGAGCCCAGCTCTCCTCCTGTCTGCCTAAGGAGGTGGGACAGACAAAACCCGCGATGCTTTTGGACAGGACCATAAAGGTGCTGGCTCAATGTCTGGTCCACAGAGCCCACCCTCCCTCCCTCTGTTGCCTGACAGATTGATGGACAGGTGGAGTACAGGGAGGAGGACTGGCACTACAGAGTCCCCCACTCCCATCCCCACCCCAGGAACAAAAGAGGGAGTCCGACAAGGTCAGCACATGCCGGTTTGGGAGAGGAGTTTTAGGGGCAGAAAGAAAAATGCTGTTCTCTTCCAGAGCAGCTGAGCTGCCGAAGAGCTGACCTGCCCTGCCCTGCCCCAAGTTGGCCTGGCACCTGCTGTGCACGCAGCCTGGGAAGAGACTTGGGAGCCCCACCTGGTCCTACCTGGGGTGGCCTCTCTTGTGAGAGAGATGTTTCATGTTAGAATTGGGGAAGGAAGAAAAATGAAGGCTGGTAAACAGCATTTTTCTGTGCTTTTTGTAAAAAGATGTTTTTCTTTAGTTATAAGTTCCTTCTGAAAATGATCAATGATGACTCTGTAAACCATGAGAAAGGATACCTCCCTTGTGTCCCCAAGGATTTAATGAAGTTGGGATCAGTAACAGGGTAAAGATTCTGTGAGGGCAGAATCCCATCCTAGGTGAATAGGAGTGAATATAGGACAACTGTGAACTTGGACATCTTTTGTCCTAGGGGTTTCCCTTTGCAAGTTAAGTTATTTAGCTTCATCAGTGAAGACTCATGGGGTGTCCATCGCACAAGCTGTAGCCCTCAGGTGTTCTGGTGTGTTGGTTTCTTGGTACTACCACCCTGTAAATGACACTTCAAGCAACTCACTGCAGCTCTCTAAGCCTCAGTTTCTTCATCTGCACAATGGGAACAGCCCTACTGGCCTCACTCACAGAGTGGTTATGAGCTTTCCTTTGGAAAAATGTATGTGAAACTATAATTGTTAGAGGGTTTAATGGGCTAAATTGTGTTCCCCAAAACCGTATATGTTGAAGCCCTAATCCCCCAGTATCTCACAATATGTCTTCACAGAAATTATTAAATTAAAATGAGGCTGTCAGGGTGGGCCTGAATCCAATCTGATCAGTATCTTTGTAAGGAAAGGAAATGTGGTTATACAAAGAGAACCAGGGTGCACATGCCCAGCGGGAAGGCCATGTGAGGACACAGTGGGAAGGCAATTGTCTGTGATCCAAGGAGAGAGGCCTCAGCAGAAACCAAACCTGCTGACCCCTTGGTCTTGGACCTCCCACCTCCAGAACCATGAGAAATAAATATCTGTTGTGTAAGCCATCCAGTTTGGGATATTTTGTTATGACAGCTCTAGCAGGCTGATTCAGGGTGCATAGTTACAATTGTCTTTATAATTATGACTAGAGTTTCTACTCCATAGACCTTTTTCCTAGGAGCCTCAGATACTTACATCAATTGTGTGATGTTAATCCCTTCATACTCCCTGATGTCGGCATAAACTAGGTCCATCTGAAAGGAAAGGAGGCCACTGTTATCCCAGAGGCCCCACCTGGAGGCCTGCGAGGCCTTTCCATAGAACCTTAGGAGGGCAGAGGGTGGGCATGCAGCATCTCCCTCTCCCCATCCCCAGAGGACAGGGGTACTCTGTCCAAGCAAAGATGTCTCTTCCCAGAGACCAGTCCTGCCCCTGGGATGCCCCAGCTGGAACCTTGCTTTGTCTTTCCCCTCCCTCCCCCCCCGCTCCCTCCTGGGCAAGCCCTGAGGAAAAGGTGAGCTGAGAAACTCCCACACCTCTAACATGACCTTCATCTATGTCCTTAACCCTTAGAGGTCCCTCTCTGGGGAGATCTGAGTAGCAATGGGGACTTGCTGTCCCAGGCCCACCTGTTTTGTGAATAATTTACTGAAATCCTGGAACTCTGGAGAAGACCGGTTTTGTAGGTTGTCGGTATAAGTCACACTGGTCACTGTTACACTCAGTTTCATCTCGGCAGAGATAGTGTCCGGAGGTTCTGAGAGGGTTAGACAACATCATCACTGAGGGCAGGACACACTAAACTTCCTACCCAGGAGACCCATACCTCTGGCAATTCTGCTCTGAGTTGGGGAGTAGCCTGGTCTCCCACCCCCAACCTCCACTCAGATCTCACCAGAGTGCCCCTGGAGAGAGGAGGTACAATGTACTCCTCATGGCTTTGCAGTGGAGCCCAAGGGACCTTGGGTGTTATATTCTATTAGAGAATTCTATACACTTTTAGTATCCTTCTCCATCATATCCTCACTTATTTTAAGTATATTTTATGGTAAAATTTGTACCAAATTTGTATTTTGTTCCAAACTATACCTTCTAGATTTATTCACTTTAAAAACATTTCAACTTTCTTACCCCTGGGTAAAATCGTTGTTGCCCCAGAAAGAGGCCATATTCCTACCAAAGAAGGAGCAGGAGTGGGTGCCCAGCATGGAGGCGGGGCCCAGGGTTGGGGAAGAAAGAGCCCTGCAGTTTTACTCACTTATCTCGATGCTGGAGACCGCCTCCTCACACTTCGGCCCCTGGTAGAGGCTGGGGCACACACACTTGATTCCATCCCAGGAGCCTCCATTCTGGCAGACCTCTGTCTTAGACTGGCACTTCTCTCCTCCAAAGCCAGGGGGACATTCACAGGCCTTCCCATTCCATGTCCCTCCGTTGAGGCACACCACTGAAAGGGACAAGACCCATCTCAACCACATGTATTTGTGCAGTACTTGATAGCTTGCAACATATTTTCACAGACCACAATCTAATTTGATGTTCTCTGAGCCCCTGGGTGGGACAGACAGTATTATGCTCACTTTACAGATGGGAGAAGTGAGGTGGGGTGAGGCTAAGGTTCCACGTGGAAGCAGAGTTGATCTGGTTGTGGAGTCCTATTTCCAGCATGCTTTCCTTTAGCCCCAGAAATCAAAGAAAGAAAAACCTGGTGTTATGAGAAGTGGGGGCAACACAGTCAGGACTGAGCATGAGAAGAAGAGATACAGACACTGAAGAGAACTCAGGGAACTTCATCAGTTTGGGCTCCACCAAGCTTGGGAATAAGCATGCCATTGTCCCTTCCATGCCCCGTTCAGAGGAGCTTGTCCTGGACATCACTGCCGTTGTGACTGTTTCTGACCCATTTTTAATTTGCTGGAACATGGAGTTTGAGGGAGGAGTGCAGACTTAGTTTAAAGATAGGAAGTAAGCCCTGGCTGGCGTAGCTCAGTGGATTGAGCGCGGGCTGCGAACCAAAGTGTCGCAGGTTCGATTCCCAGTCAGGGCACATGCCTGGGTTGCAGGCCATGATCCCCGGCAACTGCACATTGATGTTTCTCCCTCTCCCTCTTCCTCTCTCTCTCTCTCCCTCCCCCTCCCTTCCTTCTCTATAAATAAATAAATAAATAAATAAATAAATAAATAAATAAAATCTTTTAAAAAAAAAGATAGGAAGTAGTTATAGATAGCTCTCAAACATCTATGCCAACCAACCTGGAAAATCAAAAGTTCTGTTCTTTTTGGCTTTTCTTGAAAAGAGCTGTGCCTGTGAAGACCAGTGTTTGAGGTACAGCTCCTCTGGCGGGGAGGCACATGAGGGGTGCATGAACTCTGCGAAGCCCTGCCCTACCTCTGTCTCCTGGTCTACCCCACCAGACTCAGAGAGCAGGGGCCACACCCATAACAGCCACAGCAAACTGCCTCTGCTTACAGCCTCTGGTCCAAGACATTCAGGAAGAATGTGAGAGATGACACAAGAGTCCTGGGCACACTGGAGACTCATAAATCCTCTCCCTCCCCCATCCCTCTCGTTACTGAAGAACATCCAGATTGGATCAAAGTGCTTAAGCCCATAGTTGTGAGTAAAGCAAAAACAGCTGCTGGGCGGTGTTTACCTGTTGCCTAACAGTCTAAAGATAAAGCCAACCTCGAGGGGATAGGAGGAAGACAGAAGGGACCATCTGTCTTCAAGGAGATGACCAAAACTAGCTCTGGGCTCAGCAGTCACACAGCCACATGGCATTCACTGTGAAACACCTGCAGGATTTCCTGGGAACACAAGGTGTACAACTCCCTTATGAAGACGCTCAGTCCACCGCCTAAGAACCAGAGAGAACTCACCAAGACAACAACACATTGGAGAGAAACCAGAGAACAAAGCTATATAATAGAAAGGTCAGGCAAGGCAGAACTCAACACAGAAACAATTTACAAAGCCTTGAGAAAATTCAGCAGGCAAAAACTGAAGAACTGCCTTTCATCTTTATCAATTCAAGACAGATTGGGCACTGTCAGACACAGGTCATATGTCTGTAAGCATACCTAGCGTTCATTTAAATCAGGAAAGTTTTCAACTATTTTAACTAGTACACTGCAAGTCCTCACTTAACAATATCAATAGGTTCTGCAAATTAACATAATGTAAAATAAAACCTATTTTACCATAAACTGACTGATATAAACAAGAGTTAAACTCCAAGGCATCTCATTAATATTACAATAAAATGAAGTTGAATGAGACATTATTTGAAGACCTACTGTACTTCCTTCAATGCATGTCAAATACCCTTTCCCAATCTCATAATAATACTGACTGGTGTAATAGTATGCCATATACTGTATACTATATATAATAAAATAACAGTATATTATAACCGTGGGCACGAAGTGGGGCAGTCAGTTCTCACCCTAACCAGAGTGAAGAGAGCCGAGTAAAATCTCTAGAACCAACGAGAGGAGATGGAGTCATAAGGATAAACACTCAAGGACATGGACGCAGAGTTCAGAGTGGATTGAAATGAACCTCCTTTTGCTTCTATGGTGGATGCTCAGAGGATAAGTTAAAACAAAATAAAAGTGAAAGGTGGCAGAGAAACTGTTGCCAAAGGTACATATGAATACTATTGGCAACATCTCCTGCAAAACAAAACAAAAAAACCAAAAATTTCCACTTAATCGCGACCAAAAGAAATGAGAAAAACTCTAAAGATGTAAAACTGAGAATGAAAGCCACAAAGTTAATGATACTATAATATATAAAATGCAATAGAACAGCCACTGGCAGAGTATAAATGGGAGGAAATTAGGTGTGTGGACACAGTAGTGGGAACAGAAGGTGGGTGTCCACATTAGGAGAGATAAACTTTGATGTAAAAAGAGTGACCTAGGTAACAACATTAAACATACAGAGAAATGAATAATACAGTCAAAAGACTATGGAGGTACTTGCTAATGGAAGACAAGTAAGAGCAACAGAGATAAATGAGTCCATAATTTTAACCAAACCACATAACAGAGACACTAAAAAAAATAGTTCAAACAAATGATTCAAAATATTACTTACATGATGTGCTTAGTGTAATACTAGAAGTAGGGGCAGTGGTACTCTTCATTGTAGAAGTCGTCAGCTGGGAGGTGATCACAGAGGTCGATCCTTTAGATATCGTGGTGTCATCAGTGGATGTCACTGTGGTGCTGGTTTCACTGGTCATTGTTGTAACTGTACTACCTCCTGTGGAAGTTGGGCTAAGAGTGGTGCTGTCAGTCAGAGTTGTTGAGGATGGACCAGATGCTGTAGTCCCTACAGTGGAGGTGGAACTGTCTATAGAAGATGTTGGAGATGATGTAGCCTCTGTAGAGGTTGTCACTGGGGAGGTGCTCACAGAGGTCAATGCTGTAGATGTGCTGCTATCCACAGTGGATGTCACTGTGGTGCTGGTGTCACTGGTCATTGTTGTAACTGTGCTACCTCCTGTGGAAGTTGGGCTAAGAGTGGTGCTGTCAGTCAGAGTTGTTGAGGATGGACCAGATGCTGTAGTCCCTACAGTGGAGGCAGAACTGTCTATAGAAGGTGTTGGAGATGACGTAGCCTCTGTAGAGGTTGTCACTGGGGAGGTGCTCACAGAGGTGGATGCTGTAGATGTGGTGGTGTCATCAGTGGATGTCACTGTGGTGCTGGTGTCACTGGTCATTGTTGTAACTGTACTACCTTCTGTGGAAGTTGGGCTAAGAGTGGTGCTGTCAGTCAGAGTTGTTGAGGATGGACCAGATGCTGTAGTCCCTACAGTGGAGGTGGAACTGTCTATAGAAGATGTTGGAGATGATGTAGCCTCTGTAGAGGTTGTCACTGGGGAGGTGCTCACAGAGGTCAATGCTGTAGATGTGCTGCTATCCACAGTGGATGTCACTGTGGTGCTGGTGTCACTGGTCATTGTTGTAACTGTGCTACCTCCTGTGGAAGTTGGGCTAAGAGTGGTGCTGTCAGTCAGAGTTGTTGAGGATGGACCAGATGCTGTAGTCCCTACAGTGGAGGCAGAACTGTCTATAGAAGGTGTTGGAGATGACGTAGCCTCTGTAGAGGTCGTCACTGGGGAGGTGCTCACAGAGGTCGATGCTGTAGATGTGGTGGTGTCATCAGTGGATGTCACTGTGGTGCTGGTGTCACTGGTCATTGTTGTAACTGTGCTACCTCCTGTGGAAGTTGGGCTAAGAGTGGTGCTGTCAGTCAGAGTTGTTGAGGATGGACCAGATGCTGTAGTCCCTACAGTGGAGGCAGAACTGTCTATAGAAGGTGTTGGAGATGACGTAGCCTCTGTAGAGGTCGTCACTGGGGAGGTGCTCACAGAGGTGGATGCTGTAGATGTGGTGGTGTCATCAGTGGATGTCACTGTGGTGCTGGTGTCACTGGTCATTGTTGTAACTGTACTACCTTTCTGTGGAAGTTGGGCTAAGAGTGGTGCTGTCAGTCAGAGTTGTTGAGGATGGACCAGATGCTGTAGTCCCTACAGTGGAGGTGGAACTGTCTATAGAAGATGTTGGAGATGATGTAGCCTCTGTAGAGGTTGTCACTGGGGAGGTGCTCACAGAGGTCAATGCTGTAGATGTGCTGCTATCCACAGTGGATGTCACTGTGGTGCTGGTGTCACTGGTCATTGTTGTAACTGTGCTACCTCCTGTGGAAGTTGGGCTAAGAGTGGTGCTGTCAGTCAGAGTTGTTGAGGATGGACCAGATGCTGTAGTCCCTACAGTGGAGGCAGAACTGTCTATAGAAGGTGTTGGAGATGACGTAGCCTCTGTAGAGGTCGTCACTGGGGAGGGTGCTCACAGAGGTCGATGCTGTAGATGTGGTGGTGTCATCAGTGGATGTCACTGTGGTGCTGGTGTCACTGGTCATTGTTGTAACTGTGCTACCTCCTGTGGAAGTTGGGCTAAGAGTGGTGCTGTCAGTCAGAGTTGTTGAGGATGGACCAGATGCTGTAGTCCCTACAGTGGAGGCGGAACTGTCTATAGAAGGTGTTGGAGATGACGTAGCCTCTGTAGAGGTCGTCACTGGGGAGGTGCTCACAGAGGTGGATGCTGTAGATGTGGTGGTGTCATCAGTGGATGTCACTGTGGTGCTGGTGTCACTGGTCATTGTTGTAACTGTACTACCTTCTGTGGAAGTTGGGCTAAGAGTGGTGCTGTCAGTCAGAGTTGTTGAGGATGGACCAGATTCCGTAGTCCCCACAGTGGAGGCAGAACTGTCTGTAGAAGGTGTTGGAGATGACGTAGCCTCTGTAGAGGTTGTCACTGGGGAGGTGCTCACAGAGGTCGATGCTGTAGATGTCGTGGTGTCTGCAGTGGATGTCACTGTGGTGCTGGTTTCACTGGTCATTGTTGTAACTGTACTACCTTCTGTGGAAGTTGGGCTAAGAGTGGTGCTGTCAGTCAGAGTTGTTGAGGATGGACCAGATTCCGTAGTCCCCACAGTGGAGGCAGAACTGTCTGTAGAAGGTGTTGGAGATGACGTAGCCTCTGTAGAGGTTGTCACTGGGGAGGTGCTCACAGAGGTGGATGCTGTAGATGTGGTGGTGTCATCAGTGGATGTCACTGTGGTGCTGGTTTCACTGGTCATTGTTGTAACTGTACTACCTTCTGTGGAAGTTGGGCTAAGAGTGGTGCTGTCAGTCAAAGTTGTTGAGGATGGACCAGATGCTGTAGTCCCTACAGTGGAGGCGGAACTGTCTATAGAAGATGTTGGAGATGATGTAGCCTCTGTAGAGGTTGTCACTGGGGAGGTGCTCACAGAGGTCAATGCTGTAGATGTGCTGCTATCCACAGTGGATGTCACTGTGGTGCTGGTGTCACTGGTCATTGTTGTAACTGTACTACCTTCTGTGGAAGTTGGGCTAAGAGTGGTGCTGTCAGTCAGAGTTGTTGAGGATGGACCAGATTCCGTAGTCCCCACAGTGGAGGCAGAACTGTCTGTAGAAGGTGTTGGAGATGACGTAGCCTCTGTAGAGGTTGTCACTGGGGGAGGTGCTCACAGAGGTGGATGCTGTAGATGTGGTGGTGTCATCAGTGGATGTCACTGTGGTGCTGGTGTCACTGGTCATTGTTGTAACTGTACTACTTTCTGTGGAAGTTGGGCTAAGAGTGGTGCTGTCAGTCAAAGTTGTTGAGGATGGACCAGATGCTGTAGTCCCTACAGTGGAGGCGGAACTGTCTATAGAAGATGTTGGAGATGATGTAGCCTCTGTAGAGGTTGTCACTGGGGAGGTGCTCACAGAGGTCAATGCTGTAGATGTGCTGCTATCCACAGTGGATGTCACTGTGGTGCTGGTGTCACTGGTCATTGTTGTAACTGTACTACCTTCTGTGGAAGTTGGGCTAAGAGTGGTGCTGTCAGTCAGAGTTGTTGAGGATGGACCAGATTCCGTAGTCCCCACAGTAGAGGCAGAACTGTCTGTAGAAGGTGTTGGAGATGATGTAGCCTCTGTAGAGGTTGTCACTGGGGAGGTGCTCACAGAGGTGGATGCTGTAGATGTGGTGGTGTCATCAGTGGATGTCACTGCGGTGCTGGTTTCACTGGTCATTGTTGTAACTGTACTACCTTCTGTGGAAGTTGGGCTAAGAGTGGTGCTGTCAGTCAGAGTTGTTGAGGATGGACCAGATGCTGTAGTCCCCACAGTGGAGGCAGAACTGTCTGTAGAAGGTGTTGGAGATGACGTAGCCTCTGTAGAGGTTGTCACTGGGGAGGTGCTCACAGAGGTGGATGCTGTAGATGTGGTGGTGTCATCAGTGGATGTCACTGTGGTACTGGTTTCACTGGTCATTGTTGTAACTGTACTACCTTCTGTGGAAGTTGGGCTAAGAGTGGTGCTGTCAGTCAAAGTTGTTGAGGATGGACCAGATGCCGTAGTCCCTACAGTGGAGGCGGAACTGTCTATAGAAGATGTTGGAGATGATGTAGCCTCTGTAGAGGTTGTCACTGGGGAGGTGCTCACAGAGGTCAATGCTGTAGATGTGCTGCTATCCACAGTGGATGTCACTGTGGTGCTGGTTTCACTGGTCATTGTTGTAACTGTACTACCTTCTGTGGAAGTTGGGCTAAGAGTGGTGCTGTCAGTCAGAGTTGTTGAGGATGGACCAGATTCCGTAGTCCCCACAGTGGAGGCAGAACTGTCTATAGAAGGTGTTGGAGATGATGTAGCCTCTGTAGAGGTCGTTACTGGGGAGGTGCTCACAGAGGTCGATGCTGTAGATGTGGTGGTGTCATCAGTGGATGTCACTGTGGTGCTGGTTTCACTGGTCATTGTTGTAACTGTACTACCTCCTGTGGAAGTTGGGCTAAGAGTGGTGCTGTCAGTCAGAGTTGTTGAGGATGGACCAGATTCCGTAGTCCCCACAGTGGAGGCAGAACTGTCTGTAGAAGGTATTGGAGATGATGTAGCCTCTGTAGAGGTTGTCACTGGGGAGGTGCTCACAGAGGTCGATGCTGTAGATGTGGCGGTGTCATCAGTGGATGTCACTGTGGTGCTGGTGTCACTGGTCATTGTTGTAACTGTACTACCTCCTGTGGAAGTTGGGCTAAGAGTGGTTCTGTCAGTCAGAGTTGTTGAGGATGGACCAGATGCTGTAGTCCCTACAGTGGAGGCAGAACTGTCTATAGAAGGTGTTGGAGATGATGTAGCCTCTGTAGAAGTTGTCACTGGGGAGGTGCTCACAGAGGTGGATGCTGTAGATGTGGTGGTGTCTGCAGTGGATGTCACTGCGGTGCTTGTTTCACTGGTCCTTGTTGTAAATGTACTGCTTTCTGTGGAAGTTGGGCTAAGAGTGTTGCTTTCACTCAGAGTTGTAGAAGATGGTCCAGATGCTGTAGTTTCCACAGTAGAGGCAGAAGTGTCTGTAGAAGATGTTGGAGATGACACAGCTTGTGTCTTTTCTGTATTCTGAAGTGAAGATGTACCTTGTCCAGTAGACCCTGCAGTGGAGGTGGCATTGTGATTAGATATTTTTGTGGATGCACTTGTCCCTTAGCAGTAGTGTAATTGTGTGTACTGCCATCAGGGTTTAATAGAGACTTTATCTTAGGAATTCATGTATAAATGTTAGTGGTACTTTCACTTGGATAAGTTATGTGAGGTCATTTAGAATTAGTCCAAGTGTGTTCCCCCCCTTTTTTTTACATCTTTTAATGATTAGCTATGTCTACACTTTGGGCTTTACAGGAGTCATTGCCAGAAATCATTATTATGGTAGACTGTTGACTAAAGCTTTCTTCAGAGAAATTTACGTTTCAGAGCACATGGCCTGAAATGAACTGAATATAGTTTTTAGAGGCATTTTGTGTCTCACACCTTTTTTCCTAGTCTGATTTTAGGGATGTTGAGCCTGAACCCCCTTTCATAGCCTGGCCCTTTCCTCCTGGCCCTTGAGGAATATTTATAAGGCCCAAGTATCCAAGCAGTCATGGCCTGTAAAATCAGGTTTCTCTGCCAGCCTACTGAGGGTTGTTCCAATTTTTTACATGAAGGGGCCTCCTTTTCTCTACTTCCTAGGTTGCAGTGCTTCACCTACTTTATTGCTCTGCTGCCTCTTGGAGTCCTAGCCATCTTCCTGGTATATACACCCTCCTCTATCCTAAACAGCCCTGCCCTCACTGATGTCTGAGAGAAAGGGAAGTTATTCTACTGGAGCTCTAACCCTCCTCCCCAATCTGAGGGTCCTTTATTCCCTCAAGACTTCTGTGAGTTCCCCCACTCTCCTCTGGAAAGGGCCCTGGTACCTCAACCACCTCCTTGTGTTACAGTCTAGAAATCAGGCATCAGGACCTAGTCCACGCAGAGGTAAAGCAAGAAAATTGGGGGTGGGCGTGAGTCTTCACAAGTACTTGAGAAGACCAGGACAATGTCACGTGGTGAGGTAATAGACAGGGAACTCCTGTCCAGTTCAGGAATCAGACTTCGAGAAAGTAAGTGTTTGCTTGTGGCTATGTCCTTCCCAATGGAATGTGAGCACAACTGATAGATGCCAGTTCTAGGCTTCTCCCGTAAAACTTCCCTCATGGTTCCAATTGCTCTGCCTGTTGGAAGCAGATGGTGAGGAGGCCCAAGGGCATAGTGAGCCTCAGGGAGAAGAAATATAAATCCCTGAATCATCACATGAAGGAAAGCTACCTGCCAACCAGGAACATCTGCCTTGTATTGTTGTATGAGCAAGAAAACAATTCTATTGTGGTGAAGCTATTATACATTTGGGCATATTTGTTACAGCAGATACAAAAATATCCTAACTAATACAGTGAAGAACTGAAACAGATATGATTACTCTCATTGTCCTTAAAAATTCAAACCAAAAGAAAGAAATTCAAACCTTAGTATTAATATTTTTATTAAACCAACCTGTAGTTTCAACTTAAAATATATAATTGAGTGATAGATTTATATCTGTTATTTTACATTAAAATCTTGCTAGGGTTGTAGATAGTATTTGAACATTTAAGAGAACCTAAGATTCACCATAAATAGTTAATTTATTAGGTGTGTAAAATTACTTAAGTTTTGGGGAAGTTTTAAAATAAATACATTTAATGCATTAGATTTATGGAGCTCCTTGTGTGCTTGGAAAGGTTTTGTTTATTAATCAAACACTTGAAGTATTTAAACAGAAAATGTAATGTATTAATTTTATAAAAGCAACTTCAAATGTTTAAAGGAATGTAGTTAGCTAAGTATGTAAAATAGATTAAACACTGAGAAAGATCCTCATCAAAGCTGTTGGATTTCACTTCAGGTCAAGATGGAGTAATGAGGGTTGCATTAACCTCCTACCTAAAACAACACCCAGCCCCTAAACAACCATGTCACCATACAAAGGATATGAAACAATGATTTTCAATACACTAGATGTCAGGCAACAAAGGGCAGTGGTTCTCAAGAGACGGAAAACAGACAGGGTGAGCCCAGCAATTGTCCTAGCTTACTGACTTAAGAAGAGATTCCAGGGAGCAGTGCAGGGAGAGAGGAGCCAGATGGATCCCAGCAGGTTTCCTGAGTTGGGGAGATGCAGACAAGAGTCTTAGGAGACCAGGCAGCTTGAGTTCCTAAGAGAGTTACTGCAGAGGAAAGGGTGGCGCACAGTACTGATTAGTGGTTGCTTATGAAGAAACTACCCAAGTTCAAGGAAATACCACTAGAAAAGATTAGAAGAAACAGAAATTGGCTCTCACGTAGGGATGAGAACAATGATGTTCCCACTAGGCAAACTGGAAAAACTCATAATTCACAGAGTGCTGTGTAGAGTATTCAGGAAGATCATGCTTCAATAAAGGAAAATATAACCCTAGCTTGAGATTTCTCAGGACCTACCTAAGAAATTGTTTTGAAAAACAAGAGAAGGAGGAGGAAGTGAAGAGGAGGAAGAAGAAGAAGAGGAAGAAGAAAGGGGTTTGATTTTTGAATAATTGATGCACACATGGCACAAAACTTGAAAGGTACAAAAGGCATAGCCTGAAAAATGTCTTTCTCCTGCCTTTTCTCATTTCCTTTCTCAAAATCAGCTACTATAAACTGGTTTCTTGTGAAGCTTTCCAAGGATTTATATATATCCTTAAAAAGCCCATATAGTTCCATACCATACACATTGTCCTGTGTCTTGCTTTTCTTTACTTACTTTCTTGAACGTCACTAACATATTAAGCTGCCTCCTTCTTTTTAGTAACTGCACAGTGTTCCATGGAATAAATGTACTGTAATTTCTTTAATCAGTCTCCTGGGATGGATAGTTTGGGTTTGATATAGGCAAAATTTTGACCTCCATGACCTGTACTCCCTAGTGTTACTTCCAAGAATATGTTGCATCAAAAGGAATTCTGTAGGTGTAATTAAAATTAATAATCAATTAAAGTGGGGAGATTATCCTGGATTATCAAAGCAGGCTCAGTGTTTTCTCATGAGCTCTTAAAAGAAGGAAGCAGGATCAGAAGAGAAATCTGAAGCATGAGGACACACCATTACTGGGTTTTCAGAGGAAGGGGACCTTGTGGCAAACTTGATCTTGCCAACAACCTGAATGAGCTTGGAAGAGGATTCCTCCACAGAGCAGCCCCCAGCCTAGTGAGATCCTAAGCAGAGAACATAGCTGAACCATATCTGTGTCCCAACTTCCAGCCCATGAAACTGTGAGATAATCCAAGGGTGTTGTTTTATGTGACTAATTCATTGAACTTTGTCATGGCAGCAACAGAAAAATGTGAATGTCCTTGTGTGCGTGACTTTATACAAGTGTGTGAGGGTGTTGATGCAATAAATTCCTAAACATGGAAGTGGAGAGGTGAAAGAGCAGAAGCATTTAACACTATGTTACTTCCTTTTAAGTGGCATTCAATGGAATTGTGCTAGTTACTCTCCCCCCAGCTGGCTGTATCAGTGCCTGTTTCCCACACTCTCAGCAACCAATATGTCTTTTGATTTGGGGCAATTATTATGAGTTAAACTGTGTGTCCCCCAAAAAACATATTAAAATTCTAATCCCCACTTCCTCCAAATGTGACCCTGTTTGAAGACAGGTCTTTAGAGTGGTGATCAAGTTAAAGTGAGGCCATTATGGTGAGTGCTAGCCCAACATGACTTGTATCTTAGAAAAATAGAAAATTTGGACACAGAGAGTGAAGACAGGGTGAAGACGTACATGGAGAAGACAGCCATGTGACTGCAGGAGTTCTCTGTAAGTCACAGAACCCCAAGAATGACCAAAAAAAAAAAAACACCAGGAAGCAGAAGAAGTGAGGAAGGATCCAACCTAGAGCCACCAGACTGAACATGGTCCTGCTGACACCTTGATTTCAGACATCTGGTCTCAAGAACTGTGGGACAATAATCTCTGTTGTCTTAAGTCACAGCATTTGCGATACTTGCTACAGAAGCCCTAGGAAACTAATGGGTTCCAGTCATGGAATGGCTTGAGGATAATCCAATAGAAGTGAAGTCATATAAAAAGGGGAAGTTTGGACACAGACATGTGCACAGAGAGAACCACATGTGAAGACAAAGGCAGGGATGGGTGATGTGTCCGCAAGCCAGGGAATGCCAAGATTCCCAGCAAATCACCAGAAGCCATGGGAAAAGCCTGAAACCCATCCTTCCCTGCTATCTTCAGAAGGATCACAGCCTTGCTAACACCTGGTTTTGGACTTCTGGCTTCCAGAACCATGAGATAAAAACTTCCTGTTGTCCTAAGCCACCCAGGTTGTGGTAATTTGTTATGGCAGCCCTAAGAAAAAAAAATGTACTCCTTTTGTGGTCACCTGTGGTTGTAGGGGTGGGTGTGAGGGGAGAGGGTAGTGGAGATACCCAGGAAGAATCCTCAGAGAAGGCAGGCCTTGTAGATGGAGTGGGGTTAGGGGTGGGGGAATGGAAAGGGTAGGTACTTGAATGTATGCTCCTTAGGTTTTCTCAGGAGGAGGACAAAAGTAGGATGGTGGTGGAAACAAGGGGTGGTGAAAGGCCCCAGGACAGATGTGGGCAGGGGAGGGTAGAAAGAGTAGAAGGACATG